ATCAGTTAAGAAAGGTAGTTGACAGTGGTTTCCTGTGCATTGTATGTCTCTTTTTCCCAGTGGCCTTCTCCCTTAAATCAGACACTGACTGAGGGTTTTGTATAAATGCATGGTACATGCAGGCTTTTTTATAGGATGCGTAAACTGAGAATAGAACCCTGTGTCCTTATTAGAAGCTCTCCCACAGGAGTGCTTCTCAAGGTCTACTCCTGCTTTTTGTATTTGATGACTTATTCTGAAATTTTCCATCTTTTATCTCTGGTGAGTTGGGCTGTCTTTTCCTTGGCTGTGATTTCCTGTCAGTATAACCCCAACTGCTATTTCTCAAGATTCCTCAAAATTTCTTATCTATTGATACTTTCTTGACATACTTTCTTCTTCTCTAGACCTTTTTTTTTGTTTTTCTTTTTGCTAGAATATTGTTTCTGCCAATTCAAGCGGGATGATGGGAAAGAGGGGTAATGTAGTTAATGTTTAGTTTTCTGTCTAAAACCAAAAGCCCCAACCTTTAGATTTCATAAGCAGCTTCTGTCAGTAGTAAAAATTCAAGTCTAAAATGCCTACTAGGGCTAGACCATAATTCTTTGATGCATGTGTACATGTAATTTTTTACATTTTAATTTTCTTTAATAAGAATGCATAAAATCTTCATTTAAAGTGAAAAATGGGGGTTTTTTTCCTTCTGTTTACAAAGGAGATAACACATTAGATTTAGAGTATTACAGAAAATGGACATTTTTAATAGTTTCTTGGAGAAATCCAGACTGCTTTTGAAGGTAGATATGAAAAACTTTATTATTTTTTTATTGAAGTACTGTTGATTTACAATGTTGTGTTAGTTTCTGGTACAGCAAAGTGATTCCATTATAGATTATTATAAGATACTGAATATAGTTTCCTGTGCCATACAGTAGGACCTTGTTGTTTATTTTGTATATAGTAGTTTGTATCTGCAAATCCCAAGCACCTAATTTATCCACACCTGCCTTCTCCTTTGGTAACCATAAGTTTGTTTTCTATGTCTGTGAGTCCGTTTCTGTTCTGTAAATAAGTTCATTTGTATCTTATTTTAGATTCCACGTATAAGTGATGATGTATGATATTTGTCTTCCTCTTTCTGACTTCACTTAGTGGTAATCTCTAGGTCCATCCATGTTGCTGCAAATGACATTATTTCATTCTTTTTTATGGCTGAGTAGTATTCCATTTTACACACACACACACACACACACACACACACACACACACACACACACACCATGTCTTCTTTATCCTTCCGTCTGTTGATGGACATTTAGGTTGCTTCCATGTCTTCACTATTGTAAATAGTGCTGCTGTGAACATTGGGGTGCATGTATCTTTTCAAATCAGAGGGAAAAATTATTTTTATTGGTTTTTGTATTGAAATGTTTTTTAAATTGTTACTGTATGTGGAATGGAGTAGAAATAGGAATTAAACTTAAGTCCAATTTGTAAAATTTACACAGAAGGCCATTAACATGGATACATTCAGTGTAAGTTTGAATTAACCCCCTGATCTTTAGGAACTCTTCAGATGTAAGTTTTCATTTTTATATTTTAGAGAAAAAAATCAAAAATACTTTTTAATACCTAGTTTTAGTTTTGCAACTAAATGATTTAAAAACGTTGTTTTTAGTGCCAGTAAAACTGTCTTTTGACAATTTTATGAATTCCCTTTCCATCTAAATAACAGCATTCCAAATATTAATGTAAAATTTTGTTCATGAGAAATTTGGGAGGATGTGTGAGAATTTTTCACTTATTACTAATAGTCCCCAGTATTTAGACCCAGATGTATTTTTTTTCTGTATTTTGGTTTAGATTTTTCTTCTTTTCTTGTAACTATAAAATCAATATATATTGAAACTTTTCATATTCTATAATAGAAAGTTAAAATGTCCTAACTTCCCCCTCTCCAATAACTATTATTTATCTTTTGGTGTATGTTCTTTTATGTTTCTTCAATTCACGTACACACATATATATAAACGTTTTTCCTTGTCATTAGTATGCAATAAAAATTATATTTGTAAGGGTATGTAAACTTAAGGAGTAATAAAAATTCTGTCCTGAGAGATTGTACATTTGAATATTCTTAGAGTAAAATATTTGGATACCTCGAAAAAGTTTCAGTGAAACTTTTTTTTTTTTTTTTTTTTTGCGGTACACGGGCCTCTCACTGTTGTGGCCTCTCCCGTTGTGGAGCACAGGCTCCAGACACGCAGGCTCAGCAGCCATGGCTCACGGGCCCAGCCGCTCCATGGCATGTGGGATCTTCCCGGACCGGGGCACAAACCCGTGTCCCTTGCATTGGCAGGTGTACTCTCAACCACTGTGCCACCAGGGAAGCCCCCCAGTGAAACATTTTTACTCTTATTTTTCACAAGTTTCTGCTCCAAGCTTGGTCTCTGTTAAGCCAGTCCAGAGATTTTTGTACTTTTGACATAACATCTCCTCCCTTTTTTTTGCTGATGGAAATCGTGCTTCTTTATTAATATTTCCTTACTGCCTTCGTCCAGTCCACACCATTGCACTGTTAACAGCCTCCTAATTGATCTATGTATCTCACAAGCCTCTCACTTTGCCTGTCTATGCTGCATTGTTGATAGACATGTCAAATGATGCAGTGACCCTGTGGGGAGATGTGAAAGGGGATGGGGAATGACTGCTAATGGGTACAGGGTTTCTTTTTGGAGTAATGAAAATATTCTAAAATTAGATTGTGATGATGGTTTTATAGTGGATATACTAAAAAAAACCCAAGCCATATGCTTTAAACAGGTGAATTATATGGTATGTGAATGATATTCTGTAAAGCTGTTTGAAAAGCCAATAAAAGACTTAAATGTGTAACTTTGAGGCAAAAGTCAACATTACACAGAGTAAAAGGCATATTGTATATGAAAGATCAAAGAAATGGGAAGTGTATACTTTCTAATCCGCTTTATAATCAAAGTAATTTTTTATAATTCTTATAGTACAGATGTTATAAACATGGTAGTCTTACCTCCCTGAGTATTGTAAACCTGCCCACTGCTTTCATTTTTGAGAAGCAACACTTGTCATCTTTCTCTTCTGCTACAAAGCTGCTTCTAGGTAAAATGTGACAGTATGGAAGAGAAAGCATGTAACATTCTCACATGCCTCCCCTAGCCCAGTACTCCTTTATTCTCCTCTCGGTGACCCAGCCCCGTTTTATAGAATTCAAAAATCTCTTTCCCTCTGCACGGATTTCCATTCCACTCAGAAATTTCCGGTTCCTTATTTAAGGTATTTAAATGGGTCCTTATTTTAGGTAAGCAGTTTGTTGCATTCATTTATAATAAGTCATACATCTCTCATATTTGCATTTTAAAAGATTATAGAATAGGGGTTAGCAATTTTTTTCTATGAAGAGCCAGATGTAATTATTGTCGTTGCAACTACTCAGCCTTGCTATTGTGGGGTGAAATCAGCCACAGACAAAATGTAAATGAATGACTGAGGCCTGATTTGACCCTAGGCAGGTCAGATCAATCCATAGTTTGTCAACCCATGTTATAGAATTCTACATGGGATGAAGAAATTTAAGTGCAATAAATTTAGGCAGTTATGTCCTCCACTTCTACAACTAATGAAAATGATTTCATTTCTTTACTGTTTTATCTTTCTTCCAAGGTTATCTCAGGAACAGAGGTCAGAACCTGGGTACTTTTGAAAGTTTACCAAGGCTTAATTAGAAAATACCAGGCTTTACATAACCACTAAAGACTATGTATTATGAGGGTTGAGATTATTGTTAAGATTAGGTTGATGTGTGTGTATAAAGATAAATGTATTTGTGTATGGATGCATACAAATTATGTATTGTGTTATATATGTGTGTATAATTTTTTAATATATTTACTGTGGGATGCATTTGGATAGTCTCTAAAATGTTCCAGACAAATTTATTGAATATGAATGTGAAAGGACCCATGAATTAAACTAGGAAAAAATACATATTGCATCATTTGGCCCTGCTAAAGTAGGTAAAGATGAATAAATATCAATGTGGTTAGCATCTCCTCCCATAGTATTCTGGATTGATTGAAATGTTTTACTTCAATCTGATGTTTGTGTAGCTTTTTCAGTATATGATAATTGTTCGTGTATAAAAGAAATGTAGTGTTGAAACAGTGGCATTGTTTTTAGATCTGTGGCAAGTATGTTGTGAATCATAAAATTATATTTCAACTAATATTTCCAAGTAATAATAGTGAGAAAATTTGCATTTGCTATATCAGTGTTTTACAAATTACTGGATAATGCCGAATGACCATCACTCATTTAATGGATTTCTCAGGAAATAAAATATTTTCTCAGAAAATTAACTCTGGGGAATTCGAGCCACTCAGGAAAACAAAATGGCATATTTTAGCCCCAAATATTTTATTTTATTTTATTTTTCTTGGAAATTATGTCATTTCATTGTAGGTCTTGAACAGGTATTTTAGATGACTTTGACCTTATTGAACAAACCGGCGTGTCAAATTTTTGTTTTTCTTGGTCGAGATTTGAATATTTTGTCTCTGCTATTAAATTAGAGCTGACCCAGATAATAAATCAGTTAAATAAAGCATTGCCCTTTTCCTCAATAAAAATGATTACATTGCATACCTCTTTCTATCTCTTTCCTCCTTCTAACTCCATTCTGGTAGTTAGCATTCATTTATTTCAGCAGATAGTTGGGTAACTATTATATGCCAGGCAATTGTTTTAGGCACTGGGAACAAAACAGTGAACCAAACAACCTTTGCCCTTATAGAGTTTACGTTTGAGTGGGGAGAAGGCAAGAAACAACTGATTATTGTTTAATATAAAAGTTATGTAGTCTGTTAGAAGGTAAGTGCTGTGGACACAAGTAGAGCAGAGTAAGGATGAAGTAATCTTTTATAGAGTAGTACTAACCTGTTAAGTAATGTTAATACTGTCATCTTATTTTCTCTTTCAATTTATAGTTCCAATGACAGGATTCACACAGAGAGCAACCATTGATCCAGAACTGAATGAAATACATGTCTTATCTGGACTCAGCAAAGACAAGGAAAAGAGGGAAGAAAATGTCAGAAATTCATTCTGGATTTATGACATTGTAAGGAATAGTTGGTAAGTAGCTCTTGTCTATACTGCAGTCACAGTGTAACATTTATTTGAGGTTGTTGGTTTATTCAAAAGAAGAGAGAGATGGAAGGCTTATGTTAATTTGTGATGTCATACATTTTAATATCAATATTGGGGAGTGGAAAAGTCAGTACTAGTGCCTGTGTATACAGTGATGTTCAGCAAATGGATTTTACCGCTGAATTATTTCAATTAGTAGATGTTTCTTTGTCTGAGAGTCAAGAGAATTGTATTTTAGTCTAGCTTTTGCTACCAAGTAGTTGTGTAAACTTGAGAACCATGTATTTTTAATGTTCCCAGGTCTTTTCTTAGTTTTTATAAAATGAAGCAGTTTGACTAGAGCAAGGTGGGGAGCATTATTATTTAGCATTTTCAAACTAGGACCCTTTTGTCACAGAGCATCTCACAGAACTGCTGAACATTTTGCTTTGAAAAACACTGACCCTTGGTTAAAAGTCCGCCTGCCGATGCAGGGGACACGGGTTCATGCCCCGGTCTGGGAAGATCCCACATGCCGCGGAGCGGCTGGGCCCGTGAGCCATGGCCGCTGAGCCTGCGCGTCCGGAGCCTGTGCTCCGCAACGGGAGAGGCCACAACAGTGAGAGGCCCGCGTACCGCAAAAAAAAAAAAAAAAAACACTGACCTAGGGCTTCCCTGGTGGCGCAGTGGTTGAGAGTCTGCCTGCCGATGCAGGGAACACGGGTTCGTGCCCCGGTACGGGGGGATCCCACATGCTGCGGAGCAGCCGGGCCCGTGGGCCATGGCCGCTGAGCCTGCGCGTCCAGAGCCTGTGCTCCGCAACAGGAGAGGCCACAGCAGTGAGAGGCCCGCGTACCGCAGGAAAAAAAAACAAAAAATACTGACCTAGAGGATCTAGCTCTAATGTTCTGTGATTACTACATAAGTGAATATTCTCCAAAACAGAGGAACTTCAGAGAACTTCCTCCATTCAGTAATAGAGAGTGGTGCTCAGCAGCTAAGGAATTTATTATTTTCTAAATAAGACATTTATTTACAGTAAGAATGAAAGAAGTCTGTTGTGAGCTTTTTTATTGTGAATAGATAAATGTGATATCACTCTTTCAGCCGTTGGTTTAAGCCTTCATATATGCTGATCCTGTTTCATAACACGAAGTAGTTTGTTCTTGAGTGAGATTTTTGATGGACATTAAAGAACTTCAGAACTCAGTTCTAACAAATTCAGATTATTTTATGAGGGTGACCAGAACTTTTAAGATTTGATGTGAACAAATTTATAATTTTTTGTTTGTAATTAGACATTGCGTTAATTTGCTTGCTACAATTGTATTAACATTATGTGTGCTGCTAGTTTTCTAAGATAGAATGCCTTAAAAGCAATGTCTTTCAGGTCTTGCGTCTATAAGAATGATCAAGCTGCAAAGGATAATCCAAGTAAAAGTCTTCAGGAGGAAGAACCATGTCCAAGATTTGCCCATCAGCTTGTATATGATGAGTTACACAAGGTATACTAACTACATTGACCTGTAAACTTTCTGTGATGTACAATTGGAAAGAATCTCAAAATATATGTTTCTGATTATTTTTAAGTAGATTTGAATAAAAATGACTGACATTTACTAGAATACGTAGCAGACATTTGATATCACCTTGTCCCTAAAATTCCTTAAGAGAATAAAGATTTTTGCATAGTCCACAGTTCCTGACACTTTTCTTATGAAAATGGTCAGTGGTTGCTGCTTCTTAGCTGCATAGATCTGATACATAGCATGGCCTGTTGTTTCTGTCAATACAATATGAATATTCAAGTAGAAGATGTACAGTTTTCAGCACTTGTATACCTTTTTCCATGATATGAAAAGGTATATATAACTTCCTGATTTTAGATTTTCCCATTGTGTAAGAAGTCTTTTTATCTTTATTTTTCCAATCTATGATTGACATAATCTGTTCCATCAGCCTATGAAAACAGTCCTGAATTCTGAAGTTTTAGTGTCCCTAAGTGTTCAGAGTGGTTTCTTTAGCTATTTCTCCCTTAAATTTTACATGTTTAATGATTGGGCTCAGATTACATAGTAAATTACTGACAGAACCTGTATTCTTTCTGTTTAGGCCATAGATGATTATTTAAATCCTCTATCATTTGAGAACTTTAGGTAAAAGATACCATGGGAGTAAATAAAAGCCCTTTCTCTGAGAGTCTCCCAAATTAAAGGATAAGTGAATTTCCATCTATAGGACAGAAATAAATAATATCTCTGTTGTATAACACTACTGGTTATAAATGTTTTCAAAATTTTCAAGAACTGCTTTAACACTTTGAGTACAGAATATTACTAAAGCTGTAATTATAATAGTGAAATCATTGTAGTATTCCTTTTACATTTCTTATTTGATATTAATTGAATAATAGAAAAATATTTTAAAAGTTACTTCACAAATCATATATGCCATTTAAAAATATTCAGCATTAAGGCTAAAGCAAAAGTAAGATGCTAAAATTTTTAAAGTTTCTAGTTACTGTTGACCTTCAGTGATTCAACTTGTGTGTCAGTTTTTTAAAAGATATCATTTTTTATTACGATCAACACTTGATTAACTTGATAATCCCCATTATTTGTTGCCCTAAGCAAACTCAGTATCTTGGAATAGCTTCTTACTATCATTGCTTTTGTTTTATGTCTTCCATTGTCAGTGTAACTGTGGTGATACAACTTATTTTAATAGAAAATGTTATTTAGGGAAGTAGTCACAGTACTTTAAAGTAAAATGGAAACTTGAGAAAAAGCAGAAGCAGCCTTTAGTAGACATGTAATAATGTTTTAGTCTTTAGTAAAGCTAAAGAAGTTACTTGTTACACACTACTACCAAAATGAAGAAATTTTACTTTGACTTTCGTAGTTTCTTGAGTATGCATGCATGTTTTTAAAATCTGGTTTGTTTTATTTATTACAGGTTCATTATTTATTTGGTGGGAATCCAGGAAAATCTTGCTCCCCAAAGATGAGATTAGATGACTTCTGGTCACTGAAATTGTGTAGGCCTTCAAAAGATTACTTACTGAGGCATTGCAAGTACCTCATAAGAAAACACAGGTATAAAAATAAATCACTGAAAACTTTTATTTAGCATTATCAGCTATTGTTGGTTTTATTTTATTTAGCATTATCAGCTAAGCTTTGGAGATGTGACTCTGTCTTTGGCAATTTAGTAACATGACACTGTAAGTACTATGAAGATCATGACTTTTGTAAATGCCCTGTTCTCCTTATTTTTGCTTTCTTCTTTCAAAGGATGGTACAAAGTGAAGATAGATCTTGATGCTAAAAATTATTAAAGATAGAGCAAGGATATTTTGCAGCTGTTAATGGAAAAAGTTTCTATGAACGTGATGAACCTACCTTCAAGTAACTCAAGGCCTAACCACTACAGATTATATCAGTTCTAGATGATTGGCATATGAAGATTATTGGCATGTGACTGACCTGTTGATAACTCTCTTAACAGTGAATGTGATGATATAGTGGAGTAAATAATCTCTTTATAATTTGATATTTCAGAATACAACTTCAAATATGATTATAGCTTTACATCATTACTTTTGCCATTTAATTGCAAAATCAAGTAATCAAACATTTTCATATGTCTCCTCAGTCATGTTTGCTTTTTAGCCTTAGCAGGTGATAAGCTGAAAAATGTAGAAAAATACATCTATCCCTTTGGTTACTGGTAGTGTTAGATCGTAATAAAAATTTACAATTTGGAGGGAGAGAAGTTTAGCTTTTAATGATGATAATAGGTACCATTTATGAGCAATTTTGTGTGCTAGATCCTGCATATTATTCTCACAATAAGACAGTGGAGTAGGTACTGTTATTACTACTCTCTTATAAAAGAAGAAATGGAAGCGTTTTTAAGTGGGTTGTATAACTGACCTAAGGTTGTTCAGCTGTAAGTGACAGAGCCGGGCTTTGATGCTGTGTATTCTGACTCCAGAGTTACCACTTCACCACCACCACCACCCCGTACACATCGGTATATACACAGACATGCACACATGTGTGTTTATATGTTTAGTATATAATTACGTATTATATTTTATATAGGATATAAATAAATAAAAATCTCTGTAGGTGTATGTTAGGTTTGTGTTCCTTTATCATATCATGTTTGCTTGTTATTTCTCTCTCTGCTTTCACAAGTTGTGCTTGAGAGATAAATTGATAACAAAAGCTAGTTGCTTCTGTTACTTTGTTATTACTATGAATAATTAAGGAGTATTTTCTATAGAATCTATAGGACAAAAGGTCTGAATCGTCACGTTGGCTGGATGGCAAGAGATAAATTCTGTCTTATTAACAAGATTTAAGCTTGAGGTACCTTCAGCTAATGTTTACGTTGCTAAAATATTATTCCTTGGTACTTAATGTTAAAGTTTGTTTTTAAAAGTTTAAAAAAACTTTAAACTTTGTTTTAAAAGGTTAAGACAAATAAGACAATAAGACAAATTCGGGGAAATCATAATTTTTTTTTTTTCCTACTTCAGATACAACAACTATAGTTAGAATGTTGAGTTGAGCTTTCAAAAAAAATTTCCTGACCAAAAGTCCACTAGAGATTAAAGAAGGTTGTCTAGTGCTGTATGTAAAGAATTCGAACTTACTTTATAAACACTTCCCTCTGGCTTTTTTTTTTTTTTTTTTTTTTTTTTTGCGGTACGCGGGCCTCTCACCGCTGCGGCCTCTCCCGTTGCGGAGCACAGGCTCCGGACGCGCAGGCTCAGCGCCATGGCTCACGGGCCCAGCCGCTCTGCGGCATGTGGAATCCTCCCAGACCGGGGCACGAACCCATGTCCCCTGCATCAGCAGGCGGACTCCCAACCACTGCGCCACCAGGAAAGCCCTTTCCTCTGGCTTTTAATTAGAAAAGTAATCCATGGTTAATAAAGAAAAAAAAAGTCCTCTCTCCCCACCACAAAGAATTGAATCATCCCTCATCCCACCATTCAAAAATAATATTTTGGTGTGTATCCCTTGAATTTTATGTGCACAAATAGAATTTTTGTTTAAAAAATAAGGATCATCTTGCTTTGAATCTGATGTCTTTTAATGAGTGATGTATTATAAACATCTTATTACCATGTTAAAAAATAAAAATACAAATCATAATTATAATGGCTACATAGTGTTCTATTCTGTGTAATTTACTTAACTAGTCTCCTTTTGTTGAATATTTAGCTTATTTCCAACTTATTTGCAATTATAAATAACACTGTAGTTAATATTATTATATACTTCCATATGCACCCCTATCAAAATTTCTGTAGGATAACGATAGACTTGATGAATTATACGTTGCCCTCCAGAAAGTTAATTTTCATTCCTTCTGGAAGTAAGTAGAATTATTCATTTTCCCACAACCAACCTATCCTAAGAAGTATTATTTTTGATCTTTGGCAGTCATTTTTCTCCTTTAAAAATCTGTCAGTGGACAGGTGAAATGACAGTTTATGGGAATCTGAAATATATATTATGGCATGTTTTAAGTTTCATGTTTTAAGTACAAAACATCATTAGTGACTTGTGCTAGTAAAGGCACAAAGTGAAAAATGAAAGTGGATAAGGAAAATAATCAGTAACAAATTATTTAAATTTTTAATTACATTATGAAAGACTAGCAGATCTTGTGAGTGTGAGAATGATTCATGAAATAAAGTGACTGAAGTTGAAAGGTAGCAAGTTCGTGTGATTGGGCAAATAATCAACCTTTGAAATTTGCTACTATTTAGTTAAAATATAAATTTTAAAGTATAAATTTTAGTTAAAATATAAATTTGAAGGGAGAGAAGTATATTGAATGCCAAGAAAGTGTCTTTGTTCTTAATGGTGCCACATAATACAGAAAATAAAATGCCACTGTTTTTTCGTATAGCATTCAAGTTTCCAAATATATTGATGATTTGGGGGTGGAAAGGGGCAAAAGAAAAAAATTTAAATATGATTAATTCCTTGTTCCTTTAGGTAGAGGGCAGAATTGTTGGCTGAAATATAATTTTAGACTGCAGACACAAGTCCAGTAGTAAGTTTTTGTGGGCTAACAAAAAAGCTTAAAAAAGGAAAGAGAGAACACACCTTCCAGGAAAATGGATCCCTTTGCTGGATTTATTTAATAGTACAGTAGGTGTGTGTTGGTTAAGTTATCAGGTTACAAGGATAAAGACATACTTAGGATATCTCACTGAAAAAGAATTTATTATGAGAATATCCAGAGAATTAAGGTGCTTCCTCAGCACTTGAACAGTGAGGCCTGGTAGAGAATTGTTTAGGATACTGAGACAATTCTAATAGCTAGAAGCTACTGAAGTAGCTTTCCTTGTAACTGAGCCTCTCTCTTTCTGCTTCTTTCTGTCTACTTTTCCTGTTCTACTTCCTGACTCTGCTTTCTCTTATGGCTTCGGTAGGTGGCTAGGTAGCTAGGTAGTAGGAAGGAAGGGAGAGAAGGATAGGAAGAGAAGGAATATGTCATCTCATATCTTCTGCTTATTGCCTTCTGTGTTTTGTATATTTTTTGTGTCCTTGTGTATCTCACATTCAGATTCTCTAAGAGAGTATCTTCTTACAGAAAGTTCCCTAGAGAGCGTATCCCTATTGGAAAGAATTCTGCCAGGCCACTTTAAAAATTGCTCACCAAGCTCAAGACGATTGCTTTTGGCTCAGGTGCCAAAACTCTGGTCTAATTCATTGTGGACAAGATGGTAGAGTAACATGGACCTAAGACTCTCATCTGAGGGTTGTAAGACTGGCTGACAATCAGGGTACTATCTGGTACAAGAAAACTAATATTTTGCCAGTCGTTGCCCCTCCAGGTACCCTATCACTGAGATTAGCTCTAAAGACAGGAAATTATTGATGCCATCAGCTGAACACAGTTATGAAAGGCTCTTCACTATTTTCCTTTCCCAAATGAAATTAAATGTCTTCTTTCTGTATAATATTTTGAAAAGCATACCAGTTTATTAGAAATAAGTACATATCTAATTATGCTATTAAAAAGGAATTATCATTATTTAAATAGATATATAGTCCCAAGCAGACTTTTTTAATTTAAGAAAATCCTTTGTTTCCTTTCAGCTTTGGAATCAGAGATACTTGAGTTTAATTCTACTTCTGCCACTTACTAGGTCTTAGCTTGGCCAAGTTCATTTACTAGGCTCAGTTCCTCATCTGTTTATTTTTTTTTAAATGATGATAAACTTCTCATCATAGAGTTATGGGAGGATACATGAAATGATATATGTAAGATACTTGATACAGTGTCTAGCACAAAACAAATGATTGATAAATGATTGCTACAGTTTTTGTTATTACTGAGACATGGAAATAGTCTCATTAAAAATATCTAATCAGTGTTAATGATACTCATTAAAAGAAACTATACTCAGACTTCCCTGGTGGCGCAGTGGTTGAGAGTCCTCCTGCCGACGCAGGGAACACGGGTTCGTGCCCCGGTCCGGGAAGATCCCACATGCCGTGGAGCAGCTGGGCCCGTGATCCATGGCCGCTGGGCCTGCGCATCCGGAGCCTGTGCTCCGCAGCAGGAGAGGCCACAACAGTGAGAGGCCCGTGTACCGCAAAAAAAAAAAGAAGAAACTAATTTCACTTTCTGAAGTATCTGTTAAACACCTCCAGTGGAGAGTATATGACACAAATCTAGGAAATTATTTTTATTTTATCTCTACTTGTTTTTTTATGAAACATATTTGGCTATTTTGCACTTCTGTTATATAAAATATTTAACATATTCGCTATGTTTTGTAGTTGATTTAATCTTAGCTTATAGTTTTAAGAGGAGGGTTGGAAATGCTCTTATCCAGTCTCTAGCACCACAGCCTGACATTACCATTACATCTCCAGGGACTCCACATGTACGCTATTTATATATGTGTCAGTATTCTTACTTCTGGATTCTTAAGCACAGGATTTTTAGATATCCACAATATCTTCTCAGATACAGAGTATTCCACTCTGGGTTTAAAAGACATTTCTGATGTTTTTTTCATAACTCTAGACAATTATTCTTGTTTACATTTTCTAGGTTTGAAGAGAAGGCCCAAATGGATCCCCTTAGTGCTCTGAAATATCTACAAAATGATCTTTATATAACTGTGGATCATTCAGACCCAGAAGAGACAAAAGAGGTAAAGGTGGCAATAAACTTCAGAAATTGAACGTTTAAAAAATTGTCTTTCTAACTTATATTTGTTGACTTTGCTCTTGGATGTTTAAAGGAAAGTGAGGAAAATATGATGACACTAAAAATCTTAAAAATGGTACAGAGCAGATGAAATAAAAATTGAGTAGACATATTTTCATGTGGTAATCTAAGATTCAAGTCACACAAAAACCTGTGATCCACTCAGAAAAGGATTCTCAGGTATAAAGTTTTAAGTAGTCATTAGATTTTGTACTGGAAAGGAAATAGAAAAATTTTACTTCTGCCATAGTTCCATACTTCCTTTACTTAAGGGTTACATAAAGTTCAGTATAAACTTTTTCTACTGATACTCGAAAATCCCCCTAAAAGAAGAAAGAAAACTCTCCTTTATTGTAAGGAGAAAGTGAAGAGAGGTTGGTAGGAGTAGAATCTTTGCTGGCTTGATATTTAGTTATATGAATGTTGTAGCAGTACAGTTTTACCATAGGCTACTAACTTCGTTTATCAGTAGCCCCGAAGCTTGAGAACTTAGTAACAGATCATTACTTTTCAGTTTTTATGATACATAACATGGGATGGAAGCAGCTGTTTCTAAGATTTAATATTCTTAGGGCATATTTGCGTATCCACAGTGTGTGAATATACCTGCAATGAGTTTCATGGTCTTACAACCTCTCTTCCAACTTCTAAGATTCCTTTTGTCACTTCTTCCTTTTGCTAACTATTCTTGTTCATAGTTCATCTGGCAACATCTGAACTGCAATCCATTTTACCTTCCATTCTCAGAATTGGTGATTATATGTAGTTCTGTTCCTTACATCTATTTCCCTGTTAGCTGTTGCTGTGCTTTGGCTTTGTAATAACGACATCAAGCAGTGTTTTCCTCTGTTCAGCATTGACACAGGCATCAGACTGAATGACTTTCAGGTACCAGGTTCATTGTACTTTCAAGCAGAAGAGCCTGCATGTCCTTGGCACCAAAACAAAGAAATACTCTTTCATAGTTGCCTACTGTGAAAATAAGCCCTAGTTCTCTCACTCAGTATTGGTTACAACCCTTCAGTAGGTGGAGAATCAGCAGAACACATTTTAAAACCCCCTGAAAAAGGACAGTTAATTGTCTTTTCTTGAGTCTTCAGTCAATTCATGATACTATTTGAAATAGGGAGAACTGTCACGATTTTGCCAAGTAGCAGAATATATTTGGTTTAATCTGTTATGGCTTATAAACTGAACATAGTTGTGAAGAGTCTGTTAATGTTCATTTTGTTAGACCATGCATTTGAGAGTTATAAATGGATTTTCTTGTGTTTTCACCATAGTCTGTCTAAAATGGCTGTAATCCGGAACATTCATTTTTCTTTTATTTTTTAAAACCAAACCAAAACAAAATATTTCAAAGTAAATAATTTCAGCTGTGTGAGTTGCAAGTAGGCCAAAGAAAACAGACAGTTTGCTCTTAAAGCTAAGCTAGTAGGAAAGTCCAGGACAGGGAGGTATCTCAAGTTCAAACAGTCATTTTAAGAATTTTGGTAGTGGGTTTCTCTTTTCCTGAAGAGTATCAAATCGTGATTTTGTATGCCACAGCCTTCCACTCCATTTCTGAAAAGCTGTATCTATCAAGAGTTGTTTAACCCTAGTAGAAGTTAGTAAAAATGATGTTATTCATGTGTATGTCAGCATCAGAATCACTTTAGAAGCTTTTTCAGAACAATACCCTCACCCTAAGAGTCTCCTCTGTCTGCTCTTTTACAATGGAAAACTGAAAGCACACCTTAAAAATTGAGAATTACTGGTCTGTAAGGTTATTCTTTTGTTTAAAAACGTGTGAACAGATTTCGTTTGGGGAAAGAAATCCCTTGGGGACAGCTCCAGTATATATATGTACTTACAGTATCTGTTAGTGAGGCATATAGATCTTCGCTTTTCATTGTAAGAAATCATTCCCCTTTTTGAGAAAGGCCTTACTGCTCTTCATTTTCTGTAGTAGCTTGGTTTTGTTCTCTATGTATGTTTTACAAATTTTTCATTATATTAAATGATTTTATCAGCAACCAGAAGTGGTTTTTAGATTTTTCTCCCCCTTTTTCGGGTCATCATTGTGTCTTTTAGTAGCAAAATGCTGGTGGACTATCAACTAATAATGGTTCTTTGCTTTCTTCCAGTCTCCAGAGCATGGGTTCTAAATTGGTGATGAGCTTATAATAAAGCTTATGAACATTGTATTTTTTTCTAGAAAAGGGCCAAGAAAAGGATGCTTAAACTGATTCTGCCATTTTCAGAGAGGATTCTATAATAGAGAAGGAACAAGAAAAACAAGTTTTCAGCCAGTATTGCACACTTTGTATTAATTGTCTTTCTACTGAGCTTCCAAAGTACTGATGTCATTTATTTAAAATATTGTGTAGAGTTCCTACAATATGCCAGGCATTCTTCTAGGTACAATAGATATACCAGTGAACCAAACAAGATACTTGCCCAGGAGGTACTTACATACTAGTGGGGGGGAACAATAAACATATTAAATAAATTATACCGTGCATTAGAATTTGATAAGTATTATAGGAAAGTTAAAAAGAGATCAAAAATATAAGGGGACTTCCCTGGTGGCACAGTGGTTAAGAATCCGCCTGCCAATGCAGGGGACCTGGGTTCAAGCCCTAGTTCGGGAAGATCCCACATGCCACGGAGCAACTAAGCCTGTGCGCCACAACTACTGAGCCTGCGCTCTAGAGCCCGCGAGCCACAACTACTGAAGCCCTCGAGCCACACCTATGGAAGCCTGCGTGCCTACAGCCCGTGCTCTGCCACAAGAGAAGCCACCGCAATGAGAAGCCTGCACACCGCAACGAAGAGTAGCCCCCGCTTGCCGCAACTAGAGAAAGCCCGCGCGCAGCAACGAAGACCCAACGCAGCCAAAAATAAATAAAATCTACGTTTAAAATATATATATATATATACATACATATATATATATATATGTGTGTGTGTGTGTGTGTGTATATATATATATATATATATGGGGTAAGAATTGGGCAGTTGCAGTATTAAATAGAATAATCATAATAGACCTCATTTGGAAGTCAGATTTGCACAAGGACTTGAAGAATATGAGGGAGTGATCTAAGTAGATAATTTGGGGAAGATAATTCCTAGCAAAGGGATGGCTAGAACAGAGACCCCTGGGATGGAGAGTATTTGGCTTTGTTTAGAACAGCAAGGAGACACTTGTGGCTGGAGTAGAGGTAAGGAGAGTGAAAGCAGTCAGAGATGAGGTCCAAGAGGTAAGAGCAGGGATTGGCAGAACAGGTTATGAATGACTTCATAAGTCATTATTAGGACTTTGGCTCTTACTCTGAATAGGGAGCTGGTTCAGGGTATTGTCCATGCAGAGGAGTGATATCATCTGCTTTATGTTTTAATTAGGTCACTCTGACTGCTGTATTGAGAATAGACTAAAAGGGAACAAGGATGGAGGCAAAGAGAACTATGAGGGAGGTGTAGAAATCTAAGCAAGGGGGATTGTTGCTCAGAGCAAAGTAGTAGCAATAGCAATGGTGAGAAGTAAAGCAGATCAGATTCTCCCTCCCTCCCTCCCTCCCTCCCTCTCTCTCTCTCTATATATATATGTATATATTTATATATATATATATGTATGTATGTATGTATATACTTTTTTGGCTGCATTGGGTCTTCGTTGCTGCACGCGGGCTTGCTCTAGTTGCAGCGAGCGGGGTTTACTCTTCGTTGTGGTGCGCGGGCTTCTCATCAGGTGGCTTCTCTTGCTGCGGAGCATGGGCCCTAGGCACACAGGCTTCAGTAGTTGCAGTGCGTAAACTTGGTAGTTGTGGCATGCGGGCTCTAGAGTGCAGGCTCACTAGTTGCGGTGCACGGGCTTTTAGTTGCTCTGCGGCATGTGGAATCTTCCTGGACCAGGGATGGAACCCATGTCCCCTGCATTGACAGGCAGATTCTTAACTACTTCACCACCAGGGAAGTCCCCTCAGTATATTCTAAAGGTAGAACCAACGGAATTTTATGATTGGATGTAGGGTTTGAAGGAAATGACTCCAAAGTTTTGAGCCTGAAAAGCTAGAAGGATGGAGTTACTGTCAACTGAAATGAGAAGGTGGAGCCTCCTGACTGGAATCAGGAGTTTAATTTTGCATATGTTCAGTTTGAGTTGCCTGTGAAACAGCCGGCTTGAGATGTTGAAGTGATAGTTGGATGTTCAAGTCTGAAGCTGGGGAGAGAGGACTGACTTTATTCAGATTGTGTACTATTTACTCAGTACCTGTTAAAACTCTAGGCCAGTACATAGCAGTGCCACTTATTTAATTGGATGGTTAAAGTAACAGTTTTCTCCCCATCCTTCTGTTTAGAGCCAGTGAAGTTTATCTTTCATCTTAGAAGTTAGAAAAGAGCAACAAATTAACCCCAAATAAGTATTCACTAGAATATAGGAAATTAGTAAAATAGGAAACAGTAGAAAAAATATAAAAAGTGAAAAGTTTGTTCTTTGAAAAAGTGACTAAAATTGGTCAACCTCTAGCAAGACTTATCAAGGAAACAAATAATGAAAACGTAAATTATCAGCATCACAAATGAAAAGGGGAGATCATTACAACCCTACCTACATTAAAAGTGTACTAAGGAGATATTATGAACAAGTTTGTCAACAAATTCAGCAACTTGATGAAATGGACAAATTTCTTGAAAGATACAACTTACCAAAACTAACACAAGAAGAATTAGAAAATCTTAAGGAACTCCATATCAATTACAGAGATTGAATTTGTAATTGAAAACTTTCCAAGAGAGAAAATACTAGGCCTGGATGGCTATATCAGTAAATTCTATCAACCCTTTAAGGAAGAAAAAAATGCCAATTTGGTATAGATTTGTAGAAATCAGAATAAGACAGAACACCTTCTAAATCCTTTTATGAAGCAGCTTAACTCTGATGTAAAAACCCAAAAAAGACATTACAAGCAAAGAAAATTACAGACCAATAGCCCTGTGAATGTAGATACAAAATTCTTAAGAAAATTTTAGTTAATTGAATCCAGCAATATATAAAAAGGTTAATGCACAATAGCCAGAGGGGGTTTATGCTAGGAGTACAAGGTTGGTTTCACATTTGAAAATCAGTATATTTCACCACATTGGCAGAATGAAAGAGAAAAACCACAGATCGTCTCAATAAGTGAAGAAAATCATTTGACAGAATGCAAAACCCATTGATGATAAAAATTCTTAAAAAAAAAAAAAAAAAATTCTTAACAAACCAGGAATAAAGGAAACATCATAAATCTCATAAAGGGCATCTGTGAAAAACATCCAGCTAGTACCATAGTTAATTGTAAAACATTAAACCCTTTCGCCTAAGATTATGACAAGGAAAGGTTGTCTGCTTCAACACCTCTATTTAGCATTGTGCCAGAAGTCCTAGCTAGTACGATATGGTAAGAAAAAGAAATAAACAGCATATAGATTTGAAAGGAGGAAGTAAAATTGTTTGCATTTTTAGATGACAAATTAAAGAATACCTAAATAGATGGAGAAATAAATCACATTTGTGGTTTGAAAGACTAAAAAGTGTTGAGATGTCCATTCTCCCCAAATCGGTTTATAATTTAATGCAGTTTCTAAAAAAACTGTCAATATTCCAGTCAGTTTGGGTTTCTTTGTTGTTAAGGAGATAGACAAACTTATTCTAAAATTTAGTCAAAACGCAAAGGCTCTGGACTAGCTAAAACAATCTTGAAAAAAGAAAAAGTTGGAGGTCTCATACTTACTACCTGATTTCAGGACGCTGTATAGAGCCATAGTAATCAAGGTGGTGTGGTACTGGCTTAAGGATAGACAAATAGATCAATAGAACGGAATAGAGTTCAGAAACAGACTCATATATATGCAGTCAGTTTATTTTTTTGACCAGAGCACCAAGTCCAATAAGGAAAAGAAAGGTTTTTTAAACAAATAGTGCTAAATAACTGGATATCTCATCCCCTATTTCACTCTTTTTTTTTTTTTTTTTTGCGGTACGTGGGCCTCTCACTATTGTGGCCTCTCCCATTGCGGAGCACAGGCTCCGGACGCACAGGCTCAGCGGCCATGGCTCACGGGCCTAGCCGCTACGTGGCATGTGGGATCTTCCCGGACTGGGGCACGAACCCGTGTCCCCTGCAAAGGCAGGTGGACTCTCAACCACTGCGCCACCAGGGAAGCCCGTCGACCCCTATTTCACTCTTAACACAAAAATTAAGATGGATTATGGATCTAAGTATAAAACCCAAAACAATGAACCTTTAAGAAGAAAACAGATTATCTTCACAACTTTGGGATAAGCAAAGCTTTCTTGGACATGACACAAAAGGCACTAATCATAAAAGAAAAAGTTGACAAATTGGACTTCAACAAAATTAAAATTTCTACTCATTAAAAGACATTATCAAAAAAAAATAGATGAGGGAATTCCTTGATGGTCCAGTGATTGGGACTTCACGGTTTCATGGCAGAGGGCCTGGGTTCGATACCTGGTCAGGGAACTAAGATCCCACAGGCCACACCATGCGGCCAAAAATTAAAAATAAAAATAAAAATAGACAAGCCTCAGACCAAATAATATCTGCAGTAGATATGTCTGACAGAGGACTGATACCCAGAATGTATGAAGAAGTTTCATATATTTTTAGCTCTTCCTTTTATCCCCTTTTTTCCTAACTAATTTGTCCAGTTTCTTACATTGAAAAGATGATTAATCAGGTGACTGATACCTGAAATTTTAAAGGCTACAAGTACAAGTGTGAAATACATCCTGAAGAATCAGTGGTATGAACTGCTCAAGTCTTGCAAAGTGCCAAGTAAACTCCATTGAGATTCAACTCATTTGTATACTCTTATTCCTTCCTTTAACTGACCTGTTTTCCAGCATCCTCATTCAAGATAAATATGAATAGTTCTCCTAAATTTTTATTTCTTTACCAATTTGTTAAAGTACAAGTGATGCAATAGTTTTATCTTATTTTGTCATTGTTCAGTTGCATTGTCTGATTTAAACTAACTCTGGCTAGCCTGGGAATCTAATCAACACTTAAAACATTTTTTCAATGTAAAAAAGACCTTTGAGCCTTTATAATTATATAACAATACAATTATATATGACCATGGAATACCAATCTAAGTTGTAATTTAGGGATGGCTTATGCATAATAACCATGCTTTTTTCCTCAGAGTTTGATTTACACAGAGACATCAGGTGTTTTACAGTAGCATGCATTTATTTTTGAAGTGAGAATTCATATTTACTAATATACAGGGCATCAGTCTCTCTATATGTGATAGATTCCCAAATGAGTAATTTTTCTTTTTTTTTTTTTTTTTAAAGGAAGAAGGGATAGTGGTAGATAAGTGAATTCTTCTCCACCTTGAAGGGTGGTGCTACTTCTACATCATACGTTCTTTTTTTTTAATGTCGGTTCATTGGTTTGTTTATTTATTTTTGGCTGTGTTGGGTCTTTGTTTCTGTGCGAGGGCTTTCTCCAGTTGCGGCAAGCGGGGGCCACTCTTCATTGCGGTGCATGGGCCTCTCACTATTGTGGCCTCTCTTGTTGCGGAGCACAGGCTCCAGACGCGCAGGCTCAGTAGTTGTGGCTCACGGGCCTAGTTGCTCCGTGGCATGTGGGATCTTCCCAGACCAGGGCTCGAACCTGTGTCCTCTGCATTAGCAGGCAGATTCTCAACCACTGTGCCACCAGGGAAGCCCCTAATTTTCTTTTTCTTTAATCGAAGTATAGTTGATTTACAATATTATATTAGTTTCAGGTGTATAAAATAGTGATTCAATACTTCTATAGATTATATCCCATTTAAAGTTATTATAAAATACTGGCTATATTCCCTGTGCTGTACAATGTATCTTTGTAGCTTATTTATTTTATACATAGTAGTTTGTACCTCTTATCTCTGTCCTGCCCCTACCCCTTTCCATCTTCCCATTGGTAACCACTAGTTTGTTCTCTCTATCTGTGAGTCTTTCTGTTTTGTTTTATTCATTCATTTATTCTTTAGGTTCCACTTATAAGTGGTAACATCTGGTATTTGTCTTTCTCTGTCTGACTTATTTCACTTAGCATAATACCCTCTAGGTCCATCCATGTTGTTGCAAATGGCATTATTTCATTCTTTTTTATGGCTGAGTAGTGTTCCATTGTATATATATACCACATCTTCTTTATCCATTCATCTGTTGATGGACAGTTAGGTTGCTTCCATATCAGGCTATTGTAAATAATGCTGCTGTGAACATTGGAGTGCATGTATCTTTTCAAATTAGTGTTTTCATTTTCTTTGGGTGTATACTCAAGAGTGGAATTGCTGGATCATATGGTAGTGAGTAATATTTTATATTTCAGTTGACCTATTGTTCCTTAATAAATACATACTTTAATATATTTTTAAAATAAAATAATTCCAGGACTTGGTCTAGTATTTTGGAAAATGATTATAGTAGTCCACCAGAAAAGTCAGCATGTTGTTTAATCTAAATACGGTGTTCTTCTTGCCACTTTTTGGTGAATAGACTTATGCAACATGTGCGGAGACATCCAGTGGCTAATGAATGGTCGAAATTATAGGAGTTTTTTCTCCAATGTGCTTACCTAGCTAATTTGCTTTTTTCTCTCCCCCGCCCCACCCCACAGTTTCAGCTCCTGGCTTCAGCTCTGTTTAAATCTGGTTCAGATTTCACAGCTCTAGGTAAGTATTCCAATGTAATTTATCCGGCCATATGCCCTAGAATTTGGGAGGTTGGACTTTGATTTCTTTTAAATGAAACATCAGATGAGATGTCATCCAAACAAATGAAGCAAGTTTCAAGGTAGCATGCAAAATTTCTAATAACCTGCTACAAGGTTATTTTCCAGGTATCAGTCCCCAGTTCATGGATCAGTTTGCAGTTCCTATTACACCAATTGCAGGGTTATTATGCAAACAGATGGCAATAGAAGCCTGATCAAAATAAATTAATTTGTATAACGTTGTTTTGGAATGCAGACTGTATTACTGATATACTTACTATGAGTTAACACTTGCTGGTTGAATGGTTTTCCTGTTTGTTCTTTGTGAAATTGTGTGGTGTCAACAGAATGGTGATGGAGTGGGCAATGAAATAAATGTTTGGGAGCAGGACGAATTACCTCTTTCCTGAAAATGGACATTTTTGTATGTTGGTATCTTAATTGTTCCAAGTGTTTCTCAAGCATCCCAGATATGGGCATCAGTTTTCACTTAGTAGTACTCTCATTTAGTATTAATGAATTATTAAAGTAGTTAAACTAGATTGTAGTAAAGTGGGGAGTCTAGAAGTTCCAGAATCCAGAGCTTTAGTCAGGTGAATTTTCAAGGATCTTTTAGTTAGAATAAGTCATTATAGCTTCAGTTTTTCAACAAGATAGTAGCCTTTTGAAGTATGGGAATTTCCAACTTTCCTCTTGTCATTATGCAGTCACACAGTGAATGCATATTAATCTCATTAATGCTGGTGCTATTTTTAATTTGCCTTAGAGTCCAGCAATAGTATCGAAATTTTCCAGCGTATGTAATATAAATACTTCTCCTTATCTTTGGAATTAAATAACACTTTGGAATATCAGTTTAATTTCTTCATTGTTTGACCTTTTGTCTCTTAAAGGTGAAACATACCTCAAATGAAAAAAAAAACAGAGACATACAATGATGGTGTTTCTCACTGGGATGGAAATAGTAGTAGTGTTTCTTGGGGTCTTGCCCTTTGTTTTGTTTTTCCTTAATGAGTAATTGAGGCTACTCTACTGATCAAGGCAACTGCAGTCTTGAGTTATAATTCCAGAATATGTAGGATTCCACAGGGCAAGAAGACTGCTATAAAACGTAACTCCAGTAGGTTCTCCTAAAAATTTATGTAATTGTTTACCACTATCCCATACACTCAAAGGGCTTTTAAAAAATGTTTTCAGGTTGTTAGAAATCTCAGCCCTAAGATGGAGAGTCTAGTTATAGGCATTATTTTGGAAAGTTCACGCCCTTTTGAATTTTATCATTTGAAACAGGTTTAGTGATACAGGAACTGAGAGCCTTGCATATAGATATTCACTTTGAATAAATGTGTGCCTTGTTAGGTATGGGTACTGCAGCCCAGAGCCATTATTTTTATTTTAATAGTGGACAGCACTGAAATATCTCTGGCTGACTTATATTTAGCCTTTAGAACAAGAATTTTTTGGCAGTCATTTGAATATGTTAGACTGGTGTCAGCGAATGTTTTACTTTTAGCTTAACTCTTTTCTTCTTTCTCTGCCCTATTCACTGTCAGCTAATATATTTTGCCAGGAACAGTTTGTTTTAGTTGGATTCTAAACTTCAGGTACACTGAGATCTGTACAAACACAACAGAAAAAAATACAAAAAGGGAAATTTTCTGTGGGGTTTTGTTTCTTCCTACCTGTCTGAAGGGAGGCAGTTTAGTAGTTAAGAGATAAGAGTGTCGTATAGTGGTTAAGGGTCAGAATCTAGGTTTAGCTATCAGCTCTGCCACTTGCTAATTTTAAAAGTGACTTTGAACAATTCACCTTTCTAAGCATTAAGTTCTTCATCTATAAAATGGAGGTAAGCAGAGTACTTACCTCAAGTTGTTGAGAGAATTAAATAATTATGAAAAACAACAAAATGAAATACTTAGTAAGTGCTCCATTCAGGTACTCGTATTACTACCTTCTTTATAAATGTCATCTTTGTAACACTGGTGAATTTGGATGAGGAGCAAATTCAGGTTATATGCTAATTTTAATAAGGAGAAATTTGATATATTATTTATAAACGAAAAGTACCTTTCATAAGGTTTCATGCCTATTTAGAGTTCGTGGTTCTCATTCATTTTCTGTCTGATTGTTTTACCTTTACGCCACTTAGAATTGAAATCTAATGGGTTATTTTATGTATAGATGTATACACTTTTCATGTATAGATGACTGAATATTTTGTTTTCTAAATTATGTCCTGCCAAAATTGGCTCAACCAAACTGTCTGACTTCCTTCAGAATTCATCCAGTTTATCTTAACCTCTTAGTATTTACTAATGTTATATGTAATTTAAAGATTTAGAAAGATGGAAAATGATTTGCGAACAGCTGGCATTATCTTAGTTTTGAAAAATGACTGACTTCGGAGAAAAATAACCTTTGGGGATCTTTAGCTTAGAGCTACTGTGTCTGTGTCTGTGGCTGTGGGCACTTTGAAGCTTGAACTTGGGCTTTCTGCTAATTTTAAGAGCATATTTTCAGCAAGGTATGTGACAGGGAAAATCTGGTCTGTAGAAGCATATTGCCTTTCTTGGTCTTCATACCTTTCTTTAGAAGTTTTATAGTCCGTATGCGATGTGCAAGTATGAATTCAGACAGCTGTTTAAAATATTTTATGTCTAAAGTACAGTGCTCTTTGGCAGTGTGTTGACATTTGTGAATGAGGAGCCTTAGGGGTTTCACAGCATTTACTGTGCCCTTTTAGCCTTTATACTTGTACTAAATCCACCAAACTTAGATTTCAGCAAGAGACTTTCTTCAACCTCCTGTCTTTAGCCCACATGTTTACAGGTGATTTTTATATAATAATGAGTTTATTTTAGAAATAAGAAACGTAAACACAAAGAAACTTCTGTCTAGGAGAAAAATGAGAATTCTTGCTATTTCTTCCTTATTACCATAAATAGGAAAAGCTACCTAGCCTGTATAGGATGTTAACTTAAAAGTATATTCCTGGGGCTTCCCTGGTGGCACAGTGGTTAAGAATCCACCTGCAAACACAGGGGATACGGGTTCAAGCCCTGGGCTGGGAAGATCCCACATGCCGCAGAGCTACTAAGCCCGTGCACCACAACTACTGAGCCTGCGCTCTAGAGCCTGCAAGCCACAACTACTGAGCCCACGTGCCACAACTGCTGAAGCCCGCGCACCTAGAGCCCATGCTCTGCAACAAGAGAAGCCACTGCAGTGAGAAGCCCGTACACCACAACAAAGATTAGACCTCGCTTGCCACAACTAGAGAAAGCCTGTGCGCAGCAATGAAGACCCAATGCAGCCCAAAAAAATGAATAAATAAAATAAATTTTTGAAAAAAATTTTTTTTAAAGTATATTTCTAATAGGTCACTTTCTTTTAGAGCAGTCATTGTCTTCAGTCACAATAGTAATGATAAAGTGATAGCTATTATTTATTGAGCACTTACTGTGGGACCAGGTACTATTCTAAACACTTTACATGTCATAACTCACTTAATCTTCATAATAACCCTATGAAGTAGCACTAGTATGATCCCCTTTTATTATATGTGAAGAAACTGGAACACAGAGAGGCTAAAGTAAGTCGCCCAGGAATAGTGCTAGTGAGTAGCAAATCCAGGATTCACACCTTAGTAGTTTGGCTTCAGAACTAAATCACTAACTGTACTACCTCTCATTGAGCTTTACCAGTTTCCACTACTCTGAGCGATAAGTTCCTCATTCCACTGTATGGTGAAAATGAGAGAAACAGTAATTAGGAGTATGAGATTTAAAATCAATACAACCTTTTTTGTCCTGTCTCTACCATTTAAGTAGTCATGTTGCTGTTGATGAGTTTCCTGGTGCCCCACCCATTTTTAATGCATTTTTTTAAAATATTAAGATTCTCTTTGAACAACTTCCCTCAGTCCCTGCCTGCTTCCCTCAAGTGTAACCACTTGTATTTGGCAGATCTTTATACACCGACATACAGGTAGAGTTGATTCCCATTATTCACAGTAATAGTCTATGAAGTCACCTATAACACTGAACTGGTGAATACTGACCCTTTGCTCCTATGGAAAATACAGAGATAGGTTCCTGTAAGCCTCTTGTCACAGACTTTTTGTCAATTGATTAATAATATAATGTTGCTTTCTTTCAACAGGAACACACCTTACTTGTGTATTTATACTGTTGATTCATTAACATTGAACTCACACCAAGAGCACTATAACTCATTCCTGAACGAAGCTTATCTAACCTGTATTTTCTTCATAAGGCACATTGCAGCCTTCTTGCACTTAGAAACACTAGCCAGCACTTCAGCACCACACTTGGGGGCCATTTTCAGCGGTGAAGTCACCAACAAAAAACACAGAATTTGAAGAACATGACACCAAGTAGACTGTGAAAAGGACACTTGTTTACAGTATGAGAGCTAAAACAAGAAGGCAGAGCATTACCTAGTTGACCTCAGTTGAGAACATATATTTACATGTGGTGACTCAAATTTTTGCCACCCTGTGTATGTCTGTGAGTAACCACAAAAGTGGCACAAATGCTGATTTGGGGGTTACAAATTTTAGCAAGTAAGCAAATGTACAAATATGGAATCTGTGAATAATGAGGATCAACCGTATATATGTACACACACACACACACACACACACACACACACACACACATAGATGTATGGTTTTATATTTTCTGGTTTTATTTATTACATAATATAAAAACATGTATTCTCCACATAACTTTTTAAAATTTAATGATGTGGCTTGGAGGTGCTTACATGAAACTGTACTAGATTTATTCTATTTGTAAGTGATACACAATATTCCATAATAGGGATCTACCATAATTTAACCATTCATCTAATGAGAGTGTAAATTTCAAGTTCCTTATTGGTAAAAGGTGAATAAAAATAAAAGGTTTTTTTTGAGGATTAAATGAATTTAGCACATTGCCTACAATTTAATAAGCACTCAGTTAATAAAAATAAATGGGCTTTGGAGTCAGACCTGGGTTCACGCTCCATTCTCTTTCCTCACCAACTGTGATGCCTTATTAAATGACTGACTCTCTTAAGTGTTGCATCTGAAATTGGAGTTTATGGTAACTGCTTTGTTGGGTTATTTTTGTGACAATGAAATGTCATACGTAAAGAAACTAGCATGTAGTAGAGACTCAGTGTTTGTTCCTTCCCTCCTAAATCATTTGATCTCATGAAAATGGTATTATTTTATAGAGTACTATCACAGAATCAGTAGCTTCTCTTAAAAATATAATGTACCACAGCATTTTTACAAGTAAAGAAAATAAAATAAAAGATGAGAAAAGCCCTAAAGTTGAATACGAACAGGAACAAACAGACATGTTTATCAAGTTGGTAACATAATTGCACAGTAGGGGAAAAAAGAGAATTAAACCTTTTTAAATACAGCTTAGATTATATACTATCAGTGAAGTATATTCTAAAAACAATAAAAGCAAGGAAATCTTGAATTTTGCTGGTAATGGTTTGGGTATAGTAATTCTGGAACTTGTGTGTTTTAGGTTTAACAAATGAATAAATATTGCTGGGAGCAGGTTTTCCTAGTAGGAGAAAGGAGCTATAAACATGGAATGGAATAAGGAGAGGAAGAACTCTGTGAGGTTCTTAAAAAACTGAATTAGCAATAAAAGCATGGACTAATGATTTTGTTTTTTTTTAAATAGATGAGTGTATAATATGTGTGCATATATGTATAGGCCTAGAAACAACACCACCCTGGGCAATTAGCACAACTGATCTTGGTTTCTAAATATCATTTGCCACTAAAAGGAATTAGGGTTCCTGGGGAAAATGGCGGACTCCAGAGCTGTGTAAATATAAGCTTGGAGATCTTACTGTGCCAGAAAGTAAGGATGTACTCAAAAAGTAATGGGGACATTTCAAAAAGATACAGAGGGAGAACATATGAGTATTAAAATGAATAATGACAGGAATGGATATAACCTATTGAACAAGAAAATGATTCATGAGTATATACTAATGCAAATAGAGAAATAAAATGAAGGAAGGAAAAGGAAAACTCTTCTTTGCAATTAATGTCATCCAATGAATCTAGAAGGAATTGTCGAATTAGGAAATCACCATCATATACATAATAATTGTTTTGGCAAGAATCATCAGTTAATGCTAAAATCATTGGGTGCAGATCTGTTGAAGAACAGGATATTTGCACAGTTTCAAACTATCTTCTCATCAATATTTTATTAACTGCAAAAGTAGAAAAGTACACATTTACATTGGAGAAATCTGGCATACACCAGTTTAACCAGATGATCATAGTTAACATCCTCAGTATTGGGACAAACTGATACCACATGCCTCCTAAGATGATGCATTGAGAAGGACACAGCATCTCTATGTAGTGTTCTTGCCAACTTCATAAACTGAATCTGATCATAAGGAAGCAACCAGACACCCCAAATTTAATACATTCTACTATATTACTGCTCTTTGTTTTTTTTATAACAGTGTCACAAACAAACAAAAAAAAAAAACAGAGAGGTTGAGGAACTGTTCCAGGCTAAAGACATTGGATAACTAAATATAGTGTTCGATCTTGAATTTTAGATTAGTGGGGAAAATGACTATAAAAAAGATTTTTGAGACATAAATGTTAAATTTCCTAAATTTAATATATAGTAGTTATTTAAGTGAATGTTCTTGTTCTTAGGTGAAATGAACTCAAGTATTTAGGGGTGAAGATGTCTACAATTTACTCCCAAGTAGTTCCACAAAAAAAGTATGAGTGGGGTATACAAACACACTTAGAGAACAAGAGAGAATGAAAAAATATGTGGCAAAATGTTAACAATTGGTTAATCTAGGTAAGGATATATGTATATGAATGTTTGTTGTACTATTCTTGAAACTTTTCTGTGAGTTTGAAATTTTTCAAAATAAGTCGAAAATAAAGCAATTTAGAAAACTCAGAAAAACATAAAATAGAAAAAATATAATCTCACCATTCAGAGGTAACCTTTGTTTACATTTTGGAGTATTTCCTTCCATTCATTTCTGTGATATAGTAGTAGGCTTTGTTAAATCTAAAACTCATCTCAAAGTAGTAAACATTTGCCCTCACACTTAAAATAGTAATTTTTTTTTTTTTTTAATAAGGAGGAATGTACCTTTCTTGAGGCATTGTTTATTTTCCTTCCAGGAAACTGGTATCCTTGGCAATGTTCTTTCTGTTCTGTTCATGTTCTTTACAAGATTAAAAGGCAGATTGCATCTAAAACTGTATTCTAAGTTAACTGAAAATCAGTCCAATTTGAAATAGTCTTCACTGATTATCATGGCATAAAGAACTTTCTGGCACTATTTCTGTTTCTGATGGCATTCAGTAGGCCTCTCATATTCAGTTAGCCATCTCAGGAATGGGGAAAATCAATAGACTACTTTGTTTATTTTTTCATTTTCATTCTTCATATGTGCATAAAAAATTTGAAGCAGCTGGGGGAGCAATACTATTACTGGCTGACTAAAGGAAAGAGTCATCTCACTGAATATTTCCTTGGCTGGAGTAAACTTGAAAATTAAGGGTTTACTAGATATTAAGGGGGAAAAATATCTTACGGTTCAACGATCTTAGCCTTTTTAGAATGTATTTTACTAGAACATTCATCTAGATAAAAGGAGTACATTGCTCTCTATTTTTCACATGATGTGTGCCTAGCATAGAGCCTGATGCATAGTACCCTAAATACATGGTATTTCCTATGTGCCAGGTATCGTTCTGTGTATTACAGATGTATTTCTTAACCTCAGCTGTCTGTATTTTCACTCAGTTCTCTGAGACTTCTTGCAGCTCTCCGGGGCTTAATGATTTTAGACTACTTTCTAAAGACCTCTTTCATTTTGATTATATTTTTATTATCAAAAAATTTTTACTGCTCAAAAGCATTAAAAAGTCAGAAAAGAGGAATGAAAATTCCTCAGTGGACTAGAAGAGGAAAATGCTTATAAGGAAAAGAAGAGAAATCAGTATTAGTTACTAAAGTACTAGTCATTCTGCTAGGTGGTTTTCACATAATTGCATTTAATCTGCACCGTAAACCTATGACATGAACAGGATTATCACAGATTTATAGCTGAGGAAACAGTTGCAGAAAGGCTGATTACCCTACCTAAGATCATACCATTGCTAGGTAGTAGAACTGGGATCAGGACCCATGTCTGTCTGGTTTCAAAGCCTGATTTGGTTTTGGTTTTTCCATTATACATTGCTGCTTTTCTCAACTAGGTTTTCTGTTACATGTTGAGTTTTAAACACAGTGGATGAGTTTCTTTATATCTCTCCTTCACCAGGCTTTTCCGATGTGGATCACACCTATGCTCAAAGAACTCAGCTCTTTGACACCTTAGTAAATTTCTTTCCTGACAGCATGACTCCTCCTAAAGGCAACCTGGTGGACCTCATCACACTGTGACCGAAGAGTACCTGGACAGAAATGGAGCACAGGAGTCTGCTTTCAGTATTCTGGATTTCAACTCTATTGACTGACAATTAGGCTGCAGTGACTGAGGACTGCACCAGAATTTTGAAGGGATCTTTGCTGTCACAAATTTTAACCCTCGTCCTTCACACCTGACCTCAACCCCATAGTCCATCCCATTCCGAAATTAGGCTAATAAAGTGAAATTGGTATACTTTCCATTTAAAAATATATATATATATATATATATATTTTATTACTTTAACTTTTAAGAATTCATGAGTATAAAAGAAAAAATCAGGCAGTCTACCCTTTTCTGATTTTTATTTCATTTTTATAAAATTGGGGCAAGTAAGCACTGTTCACAGACTCAGTGCTACAAGAATTGGAATTTTGTTGTTGGGTTGTTTGGCCTTTCTTCTTTCTCCTTTCTTCCCATTTCACTTTATCTTGAATCACACAGCTGCTTGTAAGTGATATGTATCATTTGTTTACCTCTTCATTCTTAACAGTATATAGTTCTGTAGGGCAATTGATGTATGTTTAAGTGATATACGTGTCTCTGTTGACTAGAGTCTTGTATTACATTAAACAGTAGGAGGAACAGAGGGCTCTAATTTACGCTCCTTGTCATAGAACTAAAAAGTGAAACCTGAGATTGATCCCCACACTTATCTGAGATTGGTATATAGTATTTCTATAATGATATATTTTATAGTGGCTGTTACAGAGCTTTGAGTCACAGAAACCTTAAACTGAGGAGAGAATATAGTTCAGAACCTTTAAGAGCCACTCTCAAAATTACCAGCAGGAGGATTCTAGTTGTGATTAGCATGTTCATTGATATCTTTGTAGTAATTTTGGAAGAAAATGACTCTTTCCCCTGCTAGAGCTGTGCAGGACCAGGGCTTCAATTTCTTCCGTGTGCTATCTGTTTGTAGCATTTTCATTTGGGAGGATGGGTTCCAGAGCTACGTTTTTGTTTATTTTCATACACATTAGCTCCCTACATCTGCTTCTATATACTGATATTTTAAAGAATAATGGTTTGTAGTTTTCCAGTGGAATACAGCTGACAGGCATTTCATTAAACAAATAGACCAGGCTTTTTTAATGGAGAAAAAGAAAAATAATGGTGCAAATATTTTTTACTAAACTAAAAGAAAGGCAGATGGGCTTTTCCACTGTTCCTTTTTTTGTGAGGAGTGGTGGTATGTATTGTTCCATGAGGTGCTGTGGAATGCAGCATAGGAAATTTAAACCTGGCCAGTGCTTACATTTGCTCAAAAAGTGTGCTGTATGCAACTGATACCCACCATGCTTAAAGCAGGCTAAGTATAATAAATGTCCATCAGTCCAGTGGCTCTTCCAAGTGAATGACTTCAGAGAATTTACTGTGTCCCCGAGTAGCAAGATTAGGCCTTACCAAAGAAAGAAGAAATTGAATTGCACTTTTGAAAAGTCTCATGTATAGGAATGAGACTTTGAGGTCCCTCTTCAGTCTGTCATTATTGCATGGTTTCTCGTCTTTGGGGGAAGGACAGAAGTATATTTGTCCTACTTCTAGGCTTGAATCTTGGGCTGCTTGGCTTTCCAAGCATCCCAAATCGATCAGTAGTGATTTATTAAACAATTAAATTTGTTTCTTACCTTGTGAAAGATATAGTACATAATTCAGTAAGTACCAAGTTGTGTAGCTGCAGAATAACCAGTTGACTTTACAAGTGAGCAAATAGAATCTACCTACATACTTAGGCAGTTTCATTAAAAGATTTCCTTGACAGTCAAGAACATAAAATATTAATATCGCTAATATTGTAGCCTATTGAACTCATTTCATGGAAACAGGTTGATAGGAAAGAACTTGATAAGAGTTTCTAAATGTAAAAGCTCTAGTTTTGCTCACTGTGAATTCTGGCCCTTCAAAAACCATAACCAAATGAAATTCTGCTTCCCTCCACCATTTTTTTTTTTTTTTTTTCTCACGGTACGTGGGCCTCTCACTGTTGTGGCCTCTCCCGTTGTGGAGCACAGGCTCCGGACATGCAGGCTCAGCGGCCATGGCTCACGGGCCCAGCCGCTCCGCGGCATGTGGGATCCTCCCGGACCAGGGCACGAACCCGTGTCCCCTGCGTCAGCAGGTGGACTCTCAACCACTGCGCCACCAGGGAAGCCCCACCATTTATTTTTATAGTGCTTTTTTGGGTCATTTTTTTTCCGTTCCTTAGATTCCATATTTGGAGGAAACTCAGTTCTTGAGCTCAGTGATTTTGTTTGTTCTTATTTTTCTCTGACTCTCTACTGGTGGTTTTCTAAACATGCTTGTTCTAATTTCATCTTTCCTCACTTTAAGTGGAACCTTTTCCCTTTTCTTCACTTACAGAATTTTTTTTTTCACTAACATGTTTAAATGGGGTTGAGTCATAGCAAACTGTTTAGTGTTACTTAAGTGACATAGACTGTATTTAGGAAGTTATTGACTAGGTAAATCAAAATTTGTACCCTGGGGCTTTAATGAGGCACTGCTGGTAATGATTGCAGGAGAATATAGGCTTCATTTTATCCGTGACCAAGATTGACACATTGCTCACTTTCGACATCAGAACCCTGATATGAAACTTGTTTATATATTTAGTGAGGAGCTACATGTATTTCCAAGTATTCCAGCACTATATTATAATTTAATTTGGTATTTATATACATTGTTTAAGTAGCCAAATATCTATGCTTTACTACTTAAAAATTATTTCATTCTAGCTTAGTGAGCCCCAGATTGAAACACCTGGTTTTAGATGCATTAGTTAGTGGGGTACAATTTGCTCAGTGTCATTATCCCTAGCTTCAGTTTCATCCCCATTTCTCCTTTTTCCAGTGGAATATATTATTCCAGAATATAAACTAGAAATAATTTAAACTAGAAGTAAACTAGATCTCTAACATTTTCAGTGCTTATACCTCGTGAGAAATTAATTATCTGATTTGCAAGATACTTTGAAAATGCAGTTGCATTTTGTGGAATGACAGAGACCTCATGTGGCCAGCTTGATTAATTCACATATATCAATCTGTGAAGCAAAAGAATTCAGATTTGGGTGCCTAACTCTGTGCTAAAGCTGACAGTATTAACCTTTAGCAAGATTGTCTTTTCAGACCTGGTTTTCATTAAAACTGACTTATCTATGTCTAATAAGTAAAAACTGATAGAAAACATTAGAAAGTTAATACACTGATTTATCAAAGAAAAGCTTGTTGGCTTTAGAGCTCAGTGATTTGTTTAAGATTGTAAACTGCATTCTTTGGTGAATTATGTCTTGAATATAAATGGTTTGCTAGCTTATCTTTGTAGTGGATCTTTTCACATCTGCCTTAAAAGTGCTATTTAGAGATACATTAACAGAGTTCCATGTAATAAAACCGTTTTAAAATCTATAAACAAAAACTAGTTTGAGGTACTTAATCATTGGTGAGAGATTGAGAATGATGTTTAATGAATCAAAAAGCACTTAGAAAGGAGTATGTTTCTGATTTTATTTTCTGAATTAAACTCAGTGTCATGGAAGGAGTTACCCTATAATTATTCTTAATACAATATGAAATTCATTGGGTAATTGTGGGTCATTTAATTTTTTCCTGGGTGAATGTTGTGTTAACTCTAGCTGATTGAATGTTGCAAAGCAGTTGAGAATTATGGTTTGAAGTGATTTCTATGAGAGAGGATCATTACAATGTGTACTTTAAGCAACGTCATCTAGCTGTAAAAAATATACCCTTTGTAACCCTTCTTTTCTTAAAAAATACATGTTCATGTGTAATTTCGTCCTTTTGCAGAAATTCTGGCCTGAACTTTCACTGTTTTAAATTCTTAAGATGGTCCTTAATCTAAGATATGCAGGCTCCCTCAGGAAAAGTTCATAGTTATTAGAGGGGTAATCATAGAGGGTCTGCATATGACAGTAGTTGTAGATTAGATCTTTGGGTTCTTTCACTCAAAATTTTTGTATTCCTTATTAGTCAAATAACATTATTCTTTTGTGATTTTTCACTCTGGCCTACATCTCCCTGTGATTTGTATTAATGCTGAAATGACATTGGCTGCCCAAAACTTCTAGTCTAGAGGTGTTTCAGCTGAAGATGGAAGTTTCAAAGTTTGTTGAAATAGTTAGGAGCCACCTAGATCAGCTGAATGATGTTGCCACCGTTTGTTTTGATGGGGAGGACTCATGATTGTAGTTTATTGATTTCTTCACAAGATGCTCTTTTTATCTTTCAGAAAAACTGCTATCTTAAGAGATTTTATTTATACATAATTTTTAAACCTTGATTTCTTCCTATCCCACAAATACTGTGAATTGTTTCCATTATTTTTTTATTTTTCTTAGCTAAATCCTCTGACAATAGATTTATAGCACTTAACCTAAGGAGTCATTAGAGGTTATGGTAAACCAGGTTTTCTCGTGGGGCAGAGAGAGATGCCCTTGTGGGAAACCATATCACTATGTGTTTTCTGTTAGGTAGAACTCTAAAGTTATAGATCTTGAACTGGATCCCAATTCAGAACTTAAAAACCTGAAAATCAAAGGGTAGTTCTAGTTTATCTTCCACAATAGTCATTATTTGGAAATAAGATTTACAAATATATACTGTCATGTCCTCAAACACTGCCTAGCTTGATTGAAAACAGAATGTTATGTGGATGTTATCTGAGAGCTATAGGGTCAACAACAAAAAAGGGGGGAAATGTTTAGTAGGGAAGTAGACCAGTTGTAAGACATCACTTGTAATTATGAACTAATTTGTCTTCTTTTTTACCTTTTTATCTGCTGTTTAGTCTCAATGAATTATTGTACACAATATTAGACATTTGTACACAATGTTCTGTTTTGCCTGTCTGTGGCATTTTCACTTCGAGGTATTGAACCTCAGGAACAGAGCTAGTGAGGAGAATGAGGGTATGTTAGAGAAGGAAAAATAGGAGCTTTTTGCTCATGGATTTGAAGGTCCACAGATCTAAATGAGAAAGAAAACTCTTCATTTCTAACCCTCAATTAATTTAAAGCAGTGCTGAGAAAACTATCAAGAGGGATCAAAGCTCAGTTCTGAATAGTCTTTGGAAAGCAGCATTTCTTGGTTAGTTGCTTTCCTCACTATCTCCCAAGTAGCTGGTAGAGATCTGGAAACAGAAAACCCAGTGTAATGGGCTCTAGCTCTTAAACTAGGTGAGCAGTTTCTTACGTACAGCCAATTCCTTGATAAGGATTCAGAGGGAAAACCAGCAATAAAACATTTTAACATGCAGTTTTTGGGCTCCCAGGGGACTTGCTTTTTCATGGAGTTTAAGCTCTTGCTGCAACACAGCTCTGTACCATCTGGGATGCTAGCATTCACAGCGGTTAGTTTGGATATCTGAGCTGTCTGCCACGCAAATACTAGCCCAAGGAGATCATCATCCTTCAGTTTCACTCAGTGCTTAATGAATGCCAAATTAATTGGCAGGAAGGAAAAACACTGTGTGATATACTGAACAGGCCTGTGTGCATGATTAAGGAGTTAAGTAGCCAATTTTGAGCTTAATTTCTCTCCTTTATTAACAAATCTCAAGAAAGCCTTTGTTACAATTTAGCTAGTGTCATTTGGTTGGTGTTCATTTTCTAACCCTTTAAAATAGGAAGAAAATTGTCATTTCGTGTTTAACTTCTAACCCGTACAGAATTGAACTGACATCAATTTAGTTTCCATGTTTTAAAATAAATTAATTACACATAATCCAAAGGGTCTCTGTTTATTCTACTTTTCCAGGAAATACATGAGTTCTGGGCTTGGCAGTAGAAGTATTTAATAATTTTGGCTTATTCTTTAGGTTTCTTCCACATCTGTGAAGTGATTAATTAGAGAAGTTATTTAGAATAAGTTCAATTCCATTGCAACTGGCAGAACTTTATAAATTCATTTTGCAACAAAGGAGAGGATCTTATACCATCAGGACCATGCCATCAGATTTTGGCAAGTGACTGTTTTATCACATTGCCTTGTAGTTTGCTATTTTTTCCTTCTTAAGATAAAAGGGGAAAAACTGAGGACAGAGATGTATAACTTTACATTTTTTATTTTTTATATTTATCTTTTTGTTTAACATCTTTATTGGAGTATAATTGCTTTACAATGTTATGTTTCTGCTGTATAACAAAGTGAATCAGCTATATGTATACTTGTATCCCCATATCCTCTCCCTCTTGCACCTCCCTCCCACCCTCCCTATCCCACCCCTCTAGGTGGTCACAAAGCACCGAGCTGATCTCCCTGTGCTATGTGGCTGCTTCCCACTAGCTATCTGTTTTACATTTGGTAGTGTATATATATCAATGTTACTCTCTTACTTCGTCCCAACTTACCCTTCCCCCTCCCTGTGTCCTCAAGTCCATTCTCTA